TTCCTTCCTTCCTTCCTTCCTTCCTTCCTTCCTTCCTTCCTTCCTTCCTTTCTTTCTTTTTTTTTTTGAGATAGGTTTTCTCTATGTAGTCCTGGGTGTCCTAGACTCACTTTGTAGACCTTGGAACTCACAGTGATCTACCTGCCTCTGCCTCCTGAGTTCTGGGATTGCAGGCGTGCACAGCCGCGCCCAGCTAATCAGTCATTTTTCAAATGTACAATTTCAGTTAGTACAGTGACTAATTCTCACCCTGTGATATGGTGAGGCTTAATGGCATGTATGTAGCAGTGTTCTGCAAATCATACAAGGCATTACTGCTGGCATTAGGACAAGGGGCTCAGGCAGTAGTCTAAAAGTTTTCCCAAAGTCAGATCATGGCTGGAATTAAAAACTCCCAGAGTTGCCAGAGAGACTCAGGGTCAAGGATGAGCCTTGGCTCTTCTGTCAATAAATAAGAATAAGGGATGTGAGCACTAAGAGCATCACCTTGGATTTCCCATAGGGAAAAGGTTGAAATAGGTACTTACTCCAGCCCATTGTACTTCTACCTGAAATATGGAATGAACCAGACTCTGCTAAAAGTCAGCCTGATAACATGCTGCCAGGTTCCCTGTGGTGGAGAACCATGACACCCAAACACTGTCAGTATTTGGGCTATACACTAGGGATTCCCTTGGTGGCCTACTTCCTCAGTGGCACTAGGAATGAACAAGGACTTGGGTCTCTGTACACAGGACTAGGCAATCCACTATATGCCAAGCCCCAACTAAGAATACAAACAAGAACCAGAGCTTACCGGACGTTAGCTTTGTCCACTCCCATCCCAAAACTGATTGTTGCAACAATTACAGGGACCTTCTCCTCCATCCACTCATTCTGTACCTGTGTTCTATCAGAAGCCTTCAACCCTGGAAAGGAGGGGGAACGTAGTCAAGGGAAGCTCACATTTCCCATGGGTTTATGTTTGGGGTACTGGGGAGTTATCTTGGGTTTGACACTGTCCTGGACACTTAATCTATACCCTGAATCCATCACTTCTTATCTATACAACCTTGGATCATGCACGTAACCTTACAATCTTAACTAATAAAGAGCTTAGCCAGCCAGGCATGGTGGTACACGCCTTGAATCCCAGTAATTGGGAAGCAGAGACAGGAGGATCTCTATGAGTTCAAAACCAGTCTGATCTACATAGTGAGACCCTGTTTCAAAAAAAAAAAAAAAAAAAAAAAAAAAAAATCAAACCAGAAAGCCAGGTGCAGTGGCAGACACCTGTAATCCCAGAACTCAGGGATGGAGAGGCAGGTAGATCTCTGTGAGTTGGAGGCCAGCCTGGTCTACAAAGTGAGTCCAGGACTGCCAGGGCTACACAGAGAAAACTTGTCTTAAAAAACAAACAAACAAAAAACCCCAAAACCCAAAAACAAAACAAAAAAACCCAAACCAGGAAAACAAAACAAACAAAAAAACTTACCCCATGAGTGGAACAGAATATGTCATGAAAACGAAAGCTAAGAACTTGGGTCCTGATGTAAAGTGAATAAATATACAAATTTTAAAAGAAAAGAAAAAACAACTTAAGTCCATAGGTCTCAAAAACATGTGGTCTAGACTTTTTTTTTTAAACACATGGGTCCACAAAAAACAAACAAACAACAACAACAACAAAAACATCACATGGAGCTGAGAGGAAACTCAACAGTTAGGAGCAAAGTTGCTCTTCCAGAGGACCAGGGTCTGATTCCCAGCACCCACATGGGAATGCACAACTCTCTGCAACTGCAATTCCAAGGCATCAATGCCCTCCTCTGGTTTCTTCAGGCACGGAGGCATGCAAGCGGGACAGACAAGCGCGCTGGCAAAGTACGCAGACACACAGAAGCAAAAGCTCTTTGTCTGCTGCTGGGTAAGTGCAGGACAGGAGGAAGAACTCCTGAGTTTCTAGACTCTTTTGGTGGGCTTACGTGGGTCACTTTGGCCCTACATTAGTATCTAGAGATAGGTAACAGACCACCTGATAGTCAGGGTCCAAGAGGGGCAGGCAGCAGGCTGAGAAGGACGCAACAGTGAAGAGGACTGAGGGGTCTGGCCCCTCTTACCTGCATGGTAAGCCTTGGCGGACACTCCCCTGCTGCTGAGCTCTATGGCCAGTTGCTCACAAGCCTCTCTGGTCCTGCAGTAGACAATGCCGCAGCCAGAAAACAACTGAACAGGAAGACGTGGGAGGCCGTCAGCCAGGAGAAGGATGGTATCATCAGCCACTCACTAGAGCATAGCACACTTTAAACTCCACACTCTCTCTCGCCAATATCCTAATCTTCTCTGAGACTGGGCAGCAAGACCAATCCTGGCATGGTGATACACACTTAATCCCAGCAATAGGGACCAGGCAGGTCTCCGAGTTCAAAGTCAACCTGTTCAACATTAGGGGGTTCCATGACATCCAAAGCTACATAGTGAGACCCTAGTATCCAAAAAAGAAAGAAGAAAAAAAAAAAAAGGGACCAAAGTGAAAATCCCAAACCCAGCCTTTCTAATTCCCCATCTCCTCTCTGAACCCTGTGTAGGGCACATAAGGACTGTTCACCTGCCTCCCACAATAGAATCTGGGACCAGAGACTCCCACTAAGAAAGGAACTTGCTAAGTTACAAAAAAAGGGGAAAAAATCTGTTTGTACACAGTGTTAAGGAGCCTAACTGAGATAACTAGAAAAACAGACTTTGAAACAGCAGCTCTGTCTGTGCTGTAGACACCCCAGTTCCTCACCCCTTTATTGGCCTTCTGTCCAAGTGCCTTTAGGCAGAAGTCCCTCAGATTGCCATAGAGGTCAGGAATCAGTTCCTTGAACTGCACATCATAGAAGAGGTTGGCCCGGAAGCAGGGAGTCTTGAAAGAGGCCACTGGCTGCTTCAAGTTGAGGGTAGAAAACACATCCTCTTGAACCTGTGGGGTGGCTGTAGCAGTCAGAGCCACACATGGGGCTTGTGCTAGGCGGGAACGCAGGGCACCCAGGCGCAAATAGTCAGGACGGAAGTCATGTCCCCACTGGGAAACGCAATGAGCTTCATCCACCACCAAGTAGGAGAGCAGGTTTCGGGACACGAGGGAATTCAGGGTGGGCTGGAAGGAGGCTGAAGCTGCCATCTCTGGGGTGATGTACAGAAGTTTGGTCCGAGGTTTGTCTTGCTCCAGATCAGACAGCAGCTCCTTCCTCTCCTGTATGGACAGCTTTGAGTTCAGGGAACTAACTTGTACCTTCAAGGCCAGCAAGTGGTCCACTTGGTCCTGAGAGTACAGGAGAAAAATGTCATGGAGCATCATTAGCCCTTAGGTCCAGGTAACCTGTACAACAGCATCTCCACCGTGGAACATGGAACAGCATCTGCCTACCCTCCAATGTCTTCTTGCCCAGGAAAATGGATAGAAGAGATGGGAGGACAGGCCCTGGGGTCGGGAAGCCCTGAGTCGACTGCTGGGTCACTTAACTGCATTTGCCCGTGGACAGTCGGTCCCATTCACTATGCTCACTCCTCAGTCCCACCACAGTAACTACCTAACAGGACTGGGATGAGGATTAAATGAAACTTTACCACTCAAGGGTGAGATGGGAGATGGTGGTATGTGCCTGTAATCTCAGCACTTCAGATGTAGAAGCAAGAGGACCGAGAGTCAGGGGCCATCCGGGGCTATAGGGGACCTGACTCAAGAGATGAAAAAAGAAAATGAGGATGGGCATGGTAGCACAGGCCTTTAAACTCAGGAGGCAGAGGCAGGTGAGTCTCTGAGTTTGAGGTCAGCCTGATCACACAGTGACTTCCAGGACAGCCAAAGCTACACAGATCCTGTCTTGGACAAATGGAAAGAAAAGAGAGAGAGAAACGGATGCACATAAAACTCTTGGCACAAAGCCCTGGTGCAGTGACCATCCACTGAGAGCTATTGCTGCTCTCCACTTCCTACCGACACGGTAGATGGCTCTTAGCCACAGGGCTGTGCCTCCTCAACCCCCCCAGCCCATCTGTGGGCACTAAATACAGTCAGAGCATCTGCACAGCAGATACTAAAGAGTTTCAGTTTCCTTCTTTTTCTGTTGCACAGCCCTGTGTCTGACCAAAGTAGAATATAACACCAGACACTCCCCAAATCAGGTTACCATCTCTCCACCCACATCTCCTTTCCTGTTGTGAGTGCACACGGGAGAGGAAACCTATGCAGGTAGAGATGTGGTTGTATGGGTTTTGTTGTTTTTTTGTTGTTTTTCGGTTTTTTAAGACAGGGTTTCTCTTTGTAGCCCTGGATGTTCTGCAACTCTCTCTGTAGACCAGGCTGGCCTAGAACTCACAGAAATCCTCTTGTCTCTGCCTCCTGAGTGCTGGGATTACCCGGCTGGTTGTATGCTATTTTAGACAGTAACAGAAGAAAGGAACCATAAACCAGATGTGGCAGCACCGGTCTTTAATCTAGGACCCAGTGAGGAGAGAGCGGGAGCCATAGGTAGGAGGATATCTGTGAGTTCAAGACTAGCTTATACATGGAACTCAAAGTCAGCCAGGGCTGCACAATAATATCCTTCTCAAAAAAACAACAAAAAACAACTCACTATGACCACAATGATATGCACTAATGGAGAACCCTACATTTGGGCAATAGAGAAACTCAATATAGTCAATACATTGGCAAATCATACAAGAGGCAAAGATGAAACAAAAGTGAAATTTCTTTAACATGTGTGTGTGTGAATGCTTTGCTTGCATGTATGTCTGTGCACCACATGAGTTCCTGGTACCTGAGGTAGTGAGCCTCCATGTGAGTGCCAGGAATTGAACCCTGGTTCTTTGCAAAAACAACAAGTGCTCATATACTGAGTCAACTCTCCAGCCCAACGCATGACATTTCTAATTACAAAATCCCTTCTCTTCAAGCGGGGCCTGGGGGCACACACCCATAATTCCAGCACTCATGAGATAAAGGGGGCAAGATTGGAAGTTCAGAATCAGCCTAAGCTTAAAAATACCAATGCCAAGAAGCTGGATCTATAGGTAATGGTGTCTGCTGCCAATCATGACAACCTAAGTTCAACTCCCTAAACCCATCGGGTGGAAGGAGGGTACCCAATACAAGATAGATATAAGCTGGGCGTGGCGGTACACGCTACAATGTCAGCACTCAGGGAGGCAGAGGCAGGAAGATCTCTGGGCATTCAAGGCCATCCTGATCTACAAAGCGAGTCCAGGACACCCAGGGCTACACAGAGAAACCCTGTCTCAGAGAGAAGAGAAAAGCAACAACAACAACACCCCACCAAAATAGATATAATGTAACAAAAATGCTTTTAGAAAACATGTATAAAGTAAAATTAGGGGAGGGAGGAGGGAAGGGCACAAACGAATAGGGGAGAGAGGGTGGGATAATGTTCAACATGCAGTATATGCTTGTCTGAAAATTGGGGGAAAATAGTCAAAGTAAACAAGCAAAAAATTCCTTTCCCTCATGCGCTTTTTGGGTTTTCATGTTCATTCCCCCATGACTCACCTGAATCAAAGCAATGAGAGGAGAGACTACAATAGTGATCCCTTTGGCCAACAGAGCAGGGAGCTGATAACACAAAGATTTCCCTGCCCCTGTAGGCATGCATACAAAAACATCCTTGTCACCTACAAAAACAGAAGAGAACAGTTCAATATATTCTGCCTGCCTTTTGCACTAATGCTTTTGAAGAAGTAATTTGTTTTACTATTTATTTTTATTTTTCAAGTAGGTTTCTTTGTGTAACAGCCCTGGCTGTCCTGGAACTTGCTCTGTGGACCAGGCTGGCCCCAATCTCAAAGACATCTGCTTGCCTCTTCCTCCTGAGTGCTGAAATTAAACATGTGTGCCACCATACCTGGCTTCCATGGCTGGCTTGGAACCTGCTTTGTGGACTGAGCTGGCTTTGAACTTGCTTGATCTTCCAGGCTCTGCCTCCCAAATGCTAGGATTATAGGCCTGTTAAGTCTGCCCTAGTTGTTGTAAATCAAATGAAAATGTAGGAAAAGTACCTAGCAAAGCATCTGCACGTGGAAATATCTCAGTATAACATTTATTTCTGTTTAATTCCTTCCCCACCCTTGCTACGTAAGGGGCAAGTACCTTGGGGGACCCAGATATTCAGGAAAAAACTGCTTTTAACAATGGCAATGGCACTGTGATGGCTAAAGAAACTCCACTGTGTGCTAGACATCCATGTTGGTATCTAACAATCATTAGTCTGACTCAATCAATTTCCTGGAAGATAAGTTCCCAGCAACCTTGACACCTTGACCCCAGCTCAGAAATGTGCAGCCATGACCATCTGCTTGTTATGCTGTGACTAACTTCTGATTGTGGCTTCTGCAACCTGCTTATGCTGACACTCAAGGACTATTTTGAGGTCACCTTGACCATCTAATCTTGGCAGAGCAGAACACTCTTGTGGATTTTGCCTTTAAAAGCCCTTAACCCACCTCTGGGCAGCACTTCTTGATTTGTAGAGACTGTGGCCTACCAGCAGCTTTAATAAATTTGGCTAATAACAATCTAAACTGAGTCTTTGGGGGAGGGTCTCTTCCCAGTGGTCTTGAGCTCCATAACAGTACTAAAAAAAAAAAGTAATAAAAACAAAAAAAAGTTTTAAGGGAAGTATTCACCGGGTATGGTGGCACAGGCCTTTAAACCCAGGACTCAGGAGGCCCAGGCAGATAAATCTCTGATTTCCAGGTGGATCTCTGAGTTCCAAGTCGGCCTGGTCTACAAAGTGAATTTCAGCACAGCCAGGTATACACAGGGAAACTATGTCTCAGAAAGAAAGAGAGAGAGAAAGAGGAGAAAGAAAAGAAAGAAATAAGAAAGAAAGAAAGAAAGGAAAAAAAAAGAAAGGAAAGAAAGAAAAGGAGGGAGGGAGGAAGGAAGAAAGAAAGGAAGAAAAAAAAGAAAGGAAGAAGGAAGAAAAAGAAGGAAGAAAGAGAAAAGAAAAACAAGGATTAAGTAGTCTTGAGTGGCTGGGATATTCATATTTGGAATAAACAACCAGAGAAGCAGAGCGCTATGCACGCCTGTGTAGATATGCCAGGCTACTCATCACTCAGAAGTTGTTGTAACCTGCTTACACTCTGTAGCCCCTCCGTTGAGACCCCTTTGGTTCTTAGCATAACTATAGCTCCTCTGTTAACACCTGCTGTAGCCTTTAGGATATCAGAAGCCATTTTGCCTCCAAGTCTCCATTTTGATCTTTTTTTTTTTTTTAAAGATTTATTTATTTTATGTATATGAGTGTTCTACCTGCATTTACACCTGCCAGAAGAGGAAATCAGTTCACATTATAGATGGTTGTGAGCCACCATGTGGTTGCTGGGAATTGAACTCATGACCTTTGGAAGAGCAGATAGTGCTCTTAACCACGGAGCCGTCTCTCCAGCCCTCCACTTTGATCTTAAGGTGAAATTAAGTTCAAATTCTCAGGCCCATATCCCTGAGACCAGGATATAATTCAATAGTTCAATACTTGCTGCTTAGAATAAAACAACAGATGATAAATGCATGTTCTGCCTGAGTTAAAGATCAAAACATCTTGCTATGTTCCTTACTCCCAGAAAGCTGGAAAGCTCTCAAGAGCTCCCCTAAAACATCTTGCTATGTTCCTTACTCCCAGAGAACTGGAAAGCCCCTAAGAGCTCCCCTACCCTAAATCCCAGCCAATCAGCTTAAAGTGCTTTGTCCAGCAACCTAGATATAACACAGTACACTTGGAACTAAATCAATTATGTTTAATTGGTCAAACTGACGGTAATGCTGCCCTCCTCACTTCCTACACCTGGTTATGGCTTTTCGCATTAAAAAACCTGCCTTAGAAACAGAGTGGCATCATATTCTGGCTCCTGAGTCCAGATTATGGCCCTGACCAGTCTGTTTTGTCTTGGCTGGCATGAAATTCTCTATATACATTATTATATTATATTATTCTCTCCTTCTCTACCTGGAACTCATACTACTCCCATCTTCAGTTAAGAAGATTACCTAGGTCAATGACAAGATTAGGCATTTCTGCCACCCTTGCTGCTACCTGCACACAAACAAGAACAGACTTCAAAGACAATCTGTAGATCTGGCTTTGAAAAAAACAAAACAGATGTGGATGGTTCTGTTATTAAAAACTCAAAATTTCGTTGCAAGTCATGACAGCCCACACCTGTGATCCCAGTACTTACTAATCCAGAGGCAGCAGGATTGGCTCAAGTTTGAGGCCAGCCTGATGTATATAGAGAATTCCATGCCAGCCAAGGCAAAACAGACTGTCAATAAATAAACAAATAAACAGACACCTACCACCAATAAACACCCCCTAGCTTTGGTTGTGAAATATTTCCAAACCAGTAACGGATGAAGGGTGAGGAGGTGGGAAGTCTCAAGAAGGTGTTTTGCTACAATGCTACTACGGTACAACCAAGAGCGTGCAAAATTACCTTTCACTACAGCCATGGTCGCACTCTCCTGTAAAGGTGTTTTAAATGAATCAAACCCAAAGACTTTCTTCAGGGTGCTCCGGACTCGCCGCTCCCGGTCGAAGGGAGTGGAGAAAGGACGGGCGCTCATCTTAGCAAAGAGCAGAGGTAGTCAAAAGCTGTCACGAAAAGCCTCTGTTACACTTTAAAAGAAAGCCTATGTTTCTTCTGTTAGTAAAATCTGCTCTGTTACACTCAATATCATTCTCAAGCAATAAAACTGAAGTTTGGATTGCTTCACGCACTACCTTCCTGGGGAATTAACATTACTTAATGAAAATTAAAAAACAAAACAAAAACACTGAACTTTCCAGGACAGTAGAACAGAAGTGGACCATAACAAAGCTCACAAACGTCTTCAAAACCGTCTGGAGAACTTGGAATCCTTTTTCTAGGCTCCTTGTTCTAGAAGCAAAGCCATAACGACCATTCTTAACTCCAGATGACCGACCCCTCACTTCTTCCTAAGCCCCCAAGTAACAGTTTTCGCCCTTCACCAGTCGAATGCTCCTCAAGATATCAGAGTCCAGGCTTTCTTTCGGCTGGCTCTGCAGCTTTTCAAAGAACACTACACGTTAATGCTGAGAAGCCACAGAGCTCGAAAAGTCAGTGTGGAAGCCGAAAACCTTATTTCCGTCCCGTGCTAATGACGTCTCCAAGCGCCGGGCCTGAGGGGCGGAGCCACCGCTAGACACTGCCGTTTTGATTGGTTTGCATTCTGGCGCGGAGTCTCCTGGGATCCGGAAGAAGTTGGTTTCGCCCGCACCTAAATCGGCTTGTGAGTCATAGGCGTGAGCCACACAGAGCTGTGGGAATAAGATGGCGGGGAAGAAGAACGTTTTGTCGTCTCTTGCAGTTTATGCGGAATATTCAGACCCTGAGTCTGATGGCGAAACTGGAGTCGACGCTGTGGGAGGTGCGGCTGGTGAGGCTTTGATCTGGAAAGGGGTGGGGAGATCGGTGCCTCGTACGCTTAAAAAAAATGCTGCTTCTCTAGCGGGTTTTGGGAAGAAGAGATGCTCCTGTGCCCCAGATATCTGATCCTGGAACCCCAAAGCGCAGTCGATATCCTAGTTCAGACTGAGCGTTAAAACCTCTAGTACTTATGATCTCCCTTTCTGCGATCTTCTCTGCAAGGCATAGTTCTGGTCAAAGGATGGACCAAGCGGTGCCGCATCATTGTCTAGCCCCACTCTCTCGTTGTTTGATCAGGGAAGAGAAGAGTGAAATATACCTGGAGGATGATAAAATTTGTGTTTCGCTAAATTGATAACTTTTTAGGAATGGCCTCTAAGTGTGTCCTAGAGCTTTTAGAAATACATGACTCCAAAGTTTATAATTCTGTGTAGCTTTAGGATAGAATGTGCTGGACATTCCTAAGCGTTTTAAGGTTCCTGGGTGATTGTGTTGCTTTTTGAGTTTTCAAAGCCTATCAGTAATACTGTTGCCCTCAGACCGCAAATCCAGAGACCAGAGAGCGCGAATTACCTGATATAACCTGAGCTTTGGGTCTTCTCATCTGCAAAGTAGGAGTAAAACAACGAGATTGCATATGACATAAGATAGAGATGTGTAAGCAGCCTGCTGGGCTGGTTGGAAGAGAAGGCCTCAACTGGCCTAACAGACCAACAGCATATAGTAACACCCCCCCCCCACACACACACACACACAACTACTGGAAATCAAGCCCAGGGCCTTACACATCAGGTGTTAGGCAAGCACTCACTTCTTAGTTACTTCCCCAGCCTGTACTAAAATATTAGAACATAAATTTTTGTTTGTTTGTTTTGAAACAGGGTTTCTCCGTGTAGGCTTGGCTGTCCTGGACTCACTTTGTAGATCAGGGTGGCCTCAAATTCAAATTCAAGGAGGCCTGTCTCTGCCTCCCTGAGTGCTGGGATTACAAGCATGCACCACCGAGCCTGGCTTAGAACATGAATTTAGTATTTGACTTTCTTTCCTCATTTATATGTATGGGGAATGGGGTATGCATGGGAGTTCAGGTGCCCATGGAGGGCAGAGGGAGGCATCAGCTCTTCTTGAACTGGAGTTATGGGCAGTTCTGAGCTGTCTGATGTGGTACTGGGAGCCAAACTCTGTCAGCTCACGGAGATCTGCCTGCTGAGTGTCAGGATTAAAGGTGTGGGGTACCTTACCTTGTACATTATGCACTCATAACTGCTGAGCCATCTCCCAATACCCCCTGCTCTGGTTTGTTTTGAGATAGGAGCTCTGAGTAGTGCTGGCTGTCCTAGAATTCACTTTGTAGACCAGGCTGGTCTGAAACCCACAGAGATCCTCCTGCCTCTGCCTCCCAAGTGCTAGGATTAAAGGTGTGTGCCACCACTCATGGCCTCAACACACCTGCTCTTGGTTTGCTCTTCCTGAGTGCGGAATCTAATCTGGGGCTATAGTCCCTTACCTGAGACTTCAGTTCCCTTTTTATCTTCAGAAATCATCTTGGCCATTCAATTTTTAGAAACATTTTTTTGGTACACACACACCCCTCTCTCCCTCTCCTTTTCTTTCAGAAGAGAAGGGTGGCTTGGTATCTGATGCCTATGGAGAAGATGACTTCTCTCGCCTAGGCGGTGATGAAGAAGGTTATGAAGAAGAGGAGGATGAGAACAGTAAGCAGTCGGTAGGTAAATCTTCCAGATCTAGAGGTGTTCAAAGTAGAATTCCATTTCATGGTTTACTCTGTCCCTTTTTCCCTCTTGTTTGGAATTCATTGTTGCCAGTTGGGGATGTAGCTCCCGGGAGAGTGTTTTGCCTAAGATGTCAAGAGCTTGATCCCCAGAACCCCAGAAAGAAGAAAAAGTTGAATTGGTTGAGCAGTAGTAGTGCCTTCACATGGACCATGTTGTATTAACTTTTGAAGTGAAGGGGTTTTTTTTGAGGGGGGGGGGTGCTATTTTTTGTTTTTGAGATGGGATGTCATGAAGCCCAAGCTGGCCTCAGACTTTCTGTGTTTACTCCTGAGTTCCAGATCCTGGTGCTTCAGCCTCCTGAGAGCTGGGGTTATGGCATGAACCACTATGCCTAGGGTGGTTACTTTTTTTAACTAGGTATGGATGGTGTTTTATGTTGCTCTGTGAGTTTAACTAGTCTTTTTACTAGTATAGCAAGTTAACTAGTTTAACTTGTTTAAGTATGTTCATCCTAAATAGTGTATCATTTACCTATCTGTAATCCTCTTTGTGTTAGTTTTAATCTTGGTTGGGGTTTATTCAAATGCTTCACTTTCTAACAAGGTAAGGAAGTGGAGTTATGTTGTATCCACTTTGATTCTCTTGTTATATTTTACTTGGTGTTTTTATCAGAATGCCCCTGGTTCTTGATCACAGACCTTCCTTGAAGTTAAGTAGGCGCAGGTAACAATGAAAAGAGGACTTGTGTCCTTATTATCAAGAAGAATTTTCGGGCTCACAACCACCGGAGCAGTACAGTGCAGAAATTTAAAGTCTGGAAGCCGGGGGCGGGGGGGGGGGGGGAAGCAAGGAAATTCAGCCTGTTGCTTAGCACAAAAAGGCATCTAAAATTGAGTTTGAATATTGCATCTGGCTACTTAGAAGCAGTGTTCATTGAAACACTCACAACATACTTTATTTTTGTTTGAATGTTTTGTTATATGTTGTTATGTAAATGTTAGCATTAAAATACTTTTTAAGTAGGTATAGTGGCCCATGCCCACAATTCTAGCATTCAGATTGCTAAAGCAGGAAGATTGAAGATTCAAGAGCATATTCCTGTCTCAAATAAATAAAAATGAAGACTGGGATATGGCTCAGTGGTTCAGCAACTCCATGTGCCCAGCATTCCCAGGGCCCTAGGTTTGATCCCCAGTAGATAAAACATTTCACAGAATGTATTTTGTATTTTCTGTTTTGAGAATTTTTTATGCCTTTAGCCCCACCCATTAGTGATAATTCAGAGTAAAGCTTCTATGAAAACTTGTGGGCTGAAGAGATCACATATACGGTAGAGAGTTTGTTTGTAGCATGGATGAAGCCATAGGGTTGTTCCCCACCATCAACCACATAGATGTGGCCTGTAATCCCAGCACTCAGAATGTGAAAGAATGAGAATTATAAACTCAAGGTCCTCCTTAGCTTTGGAAGGAAGGAAGCTTTGTTAAGTTCTTTGGCTTTTCTTAAATATGTATGTGCTGCCTTAACACCAGAGCTGTTCTCTCTAATGCACTTGCATGTGTGTGTTTTTAAAATATTAATCCACATTTACTTTTTGTCATAGTCAAGCTATGTATGATATTTTAGTTTAAAAACAAACAAAAACTCTCATCAAACCCCAATATGGATATTGGGGGACTGTGTCAGCATTTTGGAAAGATCCATCTTTGACTATTCAGTTAAGTGATATCATTTTAAGGAAGCTGTGTTGGTGGCATGGCAAGGCTTTGATTCACTGGCACGATCCAGGGCACTTGTCTCAAAACCAGCAGAGTGGTCTGTTCACCCTTAGGTGCTGTGGATTAACGTCTGGAGTGCTGTGTCGTGTTCGGGTTGAAGTGTAGTGGATGGTTCCACGTCTTCTACTTAGCTTTTGACCTTACTTGCATTTGTGTTCAGTGGCATTGTGGGCTTACTTTGGAGAATTCAGTTCCCCATGTCTTCTACTTAGCTTTTGACCTTACTTGCATTTGTGTTCAGTGGCATTGTGGGCTTACTTTGGAGAATTCAGTTCCCCATGGTTTTTGCTCAGGCACACCTCATTTATAAGGAAGAGGACTGAAAACAGTGGATCGGTGGCAGTCATGTGAGCACCCCCTTCACTGTGCCTTGCACTTCAGTCCTCCCTCTCTGGGGTCATTTGTTCTGGTGATTTGATGCTTGCCTTCCCGTGTGTAAATGCTGCTGGCTTGAGGTGCCAGCGTCACAGCACCGAGGTGTCGGACAGTGTGATGGTATTCTAAGTAGTTGTGGATATGAATGTCAAGGAAGTGGTAAAAGGCCATGACCCTGGCTTCAATAATTGCAGTGTGCCTTTGGGACCCTGTGGCCTGGCCTGACATTTGCGGAACATGTTGTCTCTTCCCTCTCTTTACATGACTTCGTTCAGGAATTCTCACGTAGACGACGACCCATGATTTAGGGCTGCTGATCGCCCCTCCCCCAGAGCATCTCCTTTTCCCTTCTCTTTCTCTAGTTCTGGGTTGTGTGGTAGGGAAGGGTTCTTGGTGGGATGAGGCCAGCTGAGTAAGCAGCTTGTTTACTCCAATCGCTGGTTATATATGTAAGACTCCGCAGGCCCTCTCTTTTTAAGTTTAATCCTCTAAATTCTTTGTCTTGTAGGAAGATGACGATTCAGAGACTGAAAAACCTGAGGCTGATGACCCAAAGGTATTTGGTATTGGCTGTGGCGGGTGGCTGGATTCAATCAAGGCTTTTAACATTCTGACTCAGGTCATATGTGGGGTCAGGTTCTGTCTAGCTAGCACACAGAATGTGGACATTTTCTGGGATAAAGCCAGCTTAATGAAGAACCTTAAGGCCAATAGGAATTCTTGCGGCTAGTTGGATTCTTCTCCGAATTGTCTAAGACCTGAGATCGAAACACAAGAGGCCTATCTGGGTCCTTAACCCACGCACACTGCACTCAGTGTGGGTGTTTGTGGAGTTAGATGAGGGAGTGTTTTTAGAATCAAGAAGGCATAGGGCTGCCTTGTCTATTGTGGCTTCTCTTAGGTTCTGAGAGGGTAGGACCAGCATGAGGCCTTGCTTGAGTTGTTGAGTCCAGCCCTCCTCTCTCAGTCGAGTGTGCAGAGGGTCTTTTTTGAAGTAGCCCAGCTTTCTCCTCTCATGGCTTGACCATGAGCAGCTGAGGGTAATTAGTAGCGACTCTTGTTACAGCCTGTAACGATCCTGTGGTCATGAAGGCCCAACTGCTTGCTGCGCTCTGGGTATTGGAAATGTGCTTTTTGTGGAATCATACTTTATGATACAAACATTTTTCCCTCAGAACTCATCCCTTGGAGGAATAGATACCACTTTTCACAATTGCAAACTGCTCTGAAACCGGCCAAAGCCTTCAAGGTGGCATAAGTGAAATTTAAGAAAATTGTGCCTGGCTATAATATAAAACAGTCGCCTCTCATTATCTATGGGTGGTTGGGATTCCGGGACACCCCACCTTCATGTGCTCTACATACCCAGATCCATAGCTTCTCACATCTTTATTTAAAGGGTCTATTTGCATATAGCATATGTGTACACTCTTGTAGTCTTGGATCATCTCAAAGCCACTTGAAATAGCTGGTTCAGTATAAATCATTGTTACACTGCTATTCAGAAAAGGATAAAAATCTACTCATGTTCAACACAGATGTAATTTAAAAAAAAAATGAAAAGCCCACAGTTGCTTGAATTCATAGGTGTGAAACCTATGGATATGAAGTGCCAACGCTGTATCTGAATATATAGCATGAGTCATTCCATAGTGGGACTGGTCCATCATTGGATATGGCTGTAGAGCCTTTGACATAAACTCAGAAAGGCTACAGAGAACTCAGAATGTGTGTTCCCAGGGAAGCAAGTTTGGGTGCTAGTGTGCAAGAGTGGACAGTGTGAACCCCAGAAAGTAGGTGTAAACTACTTTCTGTGTGAAGTAAAACAACAACAAAAACCACCAGGCTAAGAACTGGCCTGGTGGGAGAGTGTGAGTCAAGCGCTGTGGTCCCAACAGCAAATCCTCGAGGAAAGACATGTCCCTATGAGAAAGGGAGTCCTGTGAAACACAGAAGACTTACTGCTCCGTGTAAGCAGTTTAAGAACAGGGGGCAGGAACACAAGGAAAAAGAAACTTGGGAAGATTGTGACTGTGTCTTTTGTGTTCGGCTTCTCTTTACTCATTTCTACACCAAAGCTTGAAAAACTTCCAGCGTGGTTTTGGTTCCTAGCTGGGCCTGGTGGCTCACCCTTGTAACCTTAGCACTTAGAAGGTTGAATTGAGAAGACTGGAGAGTTTGAGGCCAGCCCAGGCTACAAGTGAGGTCTGGGGCAGCCTGGACTATAGCGTGAGATCTTGTCTCAAAAAAAAAAAAGAAAAACAGCACACTGTTTGTGTGCTGGGTGAGGTGGCACACACTTTTAATCCCAGCACTCAGGAGGCAGAAGCAGATGGGTCTTTTTGAACTTGAGGTCAGCCTGATCACACTGTGTGCAGGACTCTGTCCCCAAAATAAAAACAAAAACCCACAAAATAAAAGGTGTAGACTGATTTTTTGACAGTATTATATCCCAGTTGTTTGAACTTCAAATCTTTCTGTGGGATGAGTTTTTGTGGAATATCTGTGGCCATGACTCAGAACACAGCATTCAGCCCTGAATTCTGACAGTAACTTGATTTAGCTCTTTGGAGGTTAACTATGAGGGCTTAGCAGAGAGATCCTATTAGCTAGGATGTCCTGCCGGGGTGGCTGACAGAGGCCCACCTTCCATTGTCTTAATGTCATCCTCAAGGATCACAGGCTGCCCCTACCACATCACCACCCATGTCTGCCTCTGCTTTCTGCCTGCTTGGGCTGACATCACATTGTTTTCCAAGCAGAGCTCTTTTTCTAATCCATTTAAGTTTTTTTTATGTGTTTTGTTTATATTTATTAATAGTTTTCATATTCATATTTCACACACACCATGTGGGTGCCCACTGATGCCAGAAGAGGTATCAAGGTCTGGAACTAGAGTTCTGGTTGGTTGTGAGCTGTCATGTGGGTACCAAGAATTGAATTTGGGTCCTCTGCAAGAGCAGTAAGTACTTTTAACCACTGAGCCATGTCTCCAGCTCTGTGGGATTTAAGTTTTATTTAAATTTATGTGAGATTTTGTTCTAAGCTTTTGATTTGAGTAGTTGTGAAGGCCCATGTGGCTGGAGCAGCGCTTTAGTTTATCATTCCTTTGTTTAGCGAATGAGTTGCTATCATGGCTGTCTGTCCACTAGATGGCACTCTCTACTTTCCTCTTCAGGATCCACTTTTAACTTGTCCTGGAGGAATTCTCAAAGTACTTTGGCTTCTTGACACACCTGGAAATGCAGATCCTAAACAGCTTCCGCTCGCTGTGTATATTGCTATCATAGAAGTTAAGCTGAGATGCAGGCTCTGGCCCTGGCACCAGGGCAGGATGGAGACAGCTGAGCAGCCTTAGAGCTCACTGGCCAGCCATTCTAGCCAGTTGGTGAGCTCCAGGGTTCAATAAAGACCTTATAGCCCAGAAAGTAAGGTAAAGAACAATGGAGGAGGACACTAGACTTCTGCCTCTGACCTCCATGCAAACCTGTGCACGCACCCATGTATGCCCCACACATGTGCAGCCATGTGAGCAACCATAAACTCAAGCGCAGTTTCCTAAAGCAGTTGCTCTGTTCTGTTTTATTTTTGCTGTTTTGTTTCCCAAGAGAGGGTTTCTCTCTGTAGCCCTGGCTCCTCTGGAACTCACTTTGTAGACCAGATCTGCCTGACTGTCTCCCTAGCCCTGGGACTAGAGGCATGCACCACCACACCTGGCACTTTTGTTTTTGGAAGAATCCCACAGGCTGAAGCCCGGGCTGGCCTGGATTGCCCTGTATCTCCAGGCTGCTCTCACATTCCAAATAATCCTTCTGCCTTCGCCCCTGGTCTGTCTCTAAACACTTTCAGTAGGCCTTTTACTATACTTGATTTCACACCACCAGACCATTAATTGGAAAAAACTGAGCTCCGCAGATTTTTGAGTGTTGACACATACTGCTCTGTAATGGCCCCACACAGCATTTGTTTGTGATTACTTACAAACACCATGTGATGTTTCGGAGCTTAAGCGTTATTGCCAGTATGCTGTTCTTCACTTTTGATAAAATGTGTGTGGAGAACCAAGTGGGCATAACCAGTGTGTCAGTCAGTCTTTCACGTAGAGTGGGGTTTCAGTGAAGAAGACAGCCGGCTCAGTGTGAACCTTACGACACACATACATGCTTGAGACAGCCCTCCTTTTTGGGCCTCAGAAGTGTTTGCTATGCTCCGTATGTCATCATACATATTGAGTAGATTAGATCTCAAGAGTCAAGTCAGTAAAATCAATCATTTTTACCACTTTGTGAAGCATGTTCTTAAAATGAAATTTAGCCCTTTTTTCTTAATTGAGCTTACCATACAAGCAAATGGTGGCAGCCAGGCAAGGGTGGCTCACACCCTTAATCTCAGCACTCAGGAAGCAAAAGTAGGTGCGTGTTTCTGAGTTTGAGGCCAGCCTGGTCTACAGAGTGAGTTCCAGGACAGCCAGGGCTACACAGAGAAGCCCTGACTTGAAAAACAAACAAAAGAAGGCAATAGTGACTCTGTTGGGATAGTGTACGCTCTCAGGACTCCCAGGGATCTGCATACTCACTCCTTTGTTTTGGGTTTGGTTTGTTTTTGTGCCTTTCTGCCCTGAAACTCACTGTGTAGACCAGGTTGGCCTTCAGTGTCCAGTGGTCCTCCGGCCTTTGTCTCTGGGGCTCTGGGACTGCAGGCGAGTGTTACTGCAGCCAGCCTAGACCAGATGTGAGAGCCACTTTTTTAGGGCAGAATCTGTGGGTCAGTTGTTTTCACCATTTTATGAAAGTTTGTTCCACAGTCCCCTTTGATGTCTTGACCAGTGGCTCGGTGCAGGGGTTAGACTATCCAGAATGACCCGGCACATTCTCTTCCCTGCATGGCAGAGAAGCTGAAGTTCTGCAGATTTCCCATCTAGCTTTGCTTGAGAAGGCTCTGAGCCCCTCTTTCTTTTCCCTGGGAAGTGGACATCGTAATGAAATCTGCCCTTTTGTCTGAGGAGGATAAAGTACAATAGTGCTGGATGCTGTGATCAGCAGCATCAGTTGCCACCAACACAGTGCCAGGGCCTCTGCCCACTTCCCAGGCTGTCACCCCATGTCATCGACCTGTAGTATAATGAGCCCTGTGCTTGGAGCCCCAGTGTATTTAGAAAAGAGCAGGCATGAAGGTGAGGGCATTAAAGAAAAGCAAAGGAGCTGGAGGGGAGGACTTGGAGAGTTGGGAGGGAACGGCAGTGGCAGCCAGGTGCAGACCTGAAACAGCGCAGAGCCACGTGGAAGAGGTTTGTCGTCATATATTGAAGAGCTTCCTCTCCTCTCTTTCGAGTTCTTCATAAGATAGTAATCTCACTGTTTACAGAAGTTTTTTAGGCAGATCTCTATGAGTTTGAGGCCAGCCTGATCTACAGAGTAAGTTCCAGTACAGCCAGGGCTACACAAAGAAACTGGCTCAGAGGTTAAGAGCACAGGTTGTGCTTCCAAAGGTCCTAAGTTCAGTTCCCAGTTAACCACATGGTGGCTCATAACCATTTATAGTGAGATCTGGTGCCCT